AGGCACAAAATCAATTAGGGCCAGAGGCTGAGATTTGGAGCCAGGCTTGAGTCACCTTCAATAGTGTCAATGACTCTTGGGATCGCCTATCATAGCCATTAAGGTCTCTTAGGATTTGTTTCATAAATGAGTGTTGCTGATTTATGTTGGTTATTGTTAAAAATGCTTTAAAATTACAGGAAAATTCACTATTTATAAATTGTTGATTTGAGTATGGTCACACTAGAACCAACCCATAGCTGACCCTCTATTGGGTTTTCAGAGGTAGGGAATCACACAGGAGGAGCCCATCTGGCTCCTGTGGAGCAGTGGGAAGCTTTGAACAATATGCCATTGGGATTGCAGGGCAGCTTCTTACCATTAGGACACCAGAACTCTCTATAAGAGTTTAATATTTGGAGAGTTGTTGTTTTATGTGCCATGACTCATAGCAATCCTATTTACAATAGTTCTGAACCCTGTCCTATCCTGAGCCAGTCTCAATGGTTTGTATACACCTAATCCCATTGCCCCAGTTGCTGTGTCAATCCAATCTCATCCAGTATCTTCCTCTCTTGTGCTGTCCATCCACTCTTACAAGCATGATGTCCTTCTCCAAGGACTGGTCCCTCCTGGCCATGTGCCCAAGGTATGAGATGGACCTTTTTGCCTCCAAGGAGAAACTTGGTTTTACCCTCTCCAAGATAGACTTATTTGTTCTCCTGGTGGTCTATGGTAAGCTCAATATTCTTCACTAGCACCATAACTGAAAGGCATCACTTCTTCTGCCATCCATTGTCACTGTCCAGCTTCCTGATGTATAACATGTAATTGTGAAAACCGTGGCCTGAAGACTACCTTCATTGCTCTTTAGCACTTTGGAGAGGTCCCTGATAGGAGAGTTCCCCAATGCAAGTCATCTTTTGATTTCCTGACTGCTGAGTGTTGATTGTGGAGTAAAGCAAGCTGAAATATTTAACAGTCTCAATCTCTTCTCCATCCATCATGGTGCTGTCAATTTGCCCAGTGGTGAGGATCTTTGTCTTCTTGATGCTAAGCTTCAGTCCATATTGAAGACCACATTTCTAGACCTTGTGCAGCAAATGCTTCAAGTCCTCCTATTTTGGCAAGCAAATTTGTGTCATCTGCATAACACAGGTTATTGATGAGTCTTCCTCCAATCCTAATGTCACACTTCTCATAAAGTCCAGCCTTCTTAATGATCTGTTCTGCATATAGATTGAAAAGGTATAGAGATAGGATTCATCCCTGAAGAGGTCCTTTCCTAATTTTGAACCATACAGTGTTTCCTTGGTCTGTTCCGACACTGATTCCTTATCTGAGTAAAGGCTTTGCATGAGCACAAGCAAGTGTTCTGGGGTTCCCATTCTCCTCAAGGTTAACCACAGTTTGTTGTGATCCACACAGTCAAATTACTTTGCACAATCAATGAAGCACAGATAGGCATTCAGAACATTCATTGCTTTCTTCCAAGATCCATCTGACATTGGCGATAATGTCTTTATTGCTACAGCTTCTTCTAAACCTAGCCTGCACTTCTGGTTGTTCTCTGTTAATGTACTGTTCCAGTTGTTTTAGGATAATCTTCAGTAGGAGTTTGCTTGTGTGTGATATTAGTGACATTGTTCGATAATTTCCACACTGTCAGACCACCTTTTTTTGGGAAAAGGAATAAATATGGATCTCTTCCAGGCAGTTGGTCAGGTGGTTGTCGTCCAGATTTACACTTTTTTTTATCACTATCTCCTCTGAATCTCACATCTGCTATCTTAATGGATCATTCAAAGCAGTCCTAAAATGCATAGGTTGGTTTTACAAATGAGTCTAAGGAATAGGTAAAAGTCATATCCCTGTGACCAATGCATTCCCCTTTCACCACAGCCTCTGCTCCTCCTGTACAATATATAGCTAAGAATACACCTTCACAAAAAATCATATGCAGGGTCCAGGTTACATACATTCGTACGAACTCCAGTAGGCAGTTTGTATTCTTAAGCATATATTTGTTTAATATTCAGTGGATCTATGTAAAGATTCTTTCTAGACATGGAACATTAATGAAAAGACAAAACAAAAATGAGATATCATTTCATCCCAGTAACAACAGCAAAGTACAACAGGGCAGCAAACAACAAATGCTAGTGAAATAGTGGAGAGACTGGAACTCTTATTCCCTGGTGGTGGAAATGTAAATTGGAACAACCACTACAGAAGGTGGTCTGGCACTTTCTCAAAAAGGTGGAAATAGAAATACCATTTCATGCAGCAATTCCACTACTCTGAATGTACTCTAAAGAAACCAAAGCTGCAACTCAAACAAATATATGCACACTCATGTTTATTGCTGCATTATTTATAATAGCAAAGATACAGAAGCAACCCAAGTGCTATCAACAAATGATGGGTAGAAAAACTATTGTACATCCACAAGATGGACTATTATACAGCACTAAACAATGAATTCATTAAATATTGCATAAAGTCGAGAAGAGATTATGCTGGGTGAAATATCTTAGCTAAAAAGGGTCAAATAATGCATAACATCACTGTTGTAAAATAAGATTGACTTGGGGCATTGTGGAGAGAATAGGAAAAGAGTGGATTGCACTGGAACAGATGAGGGGATGAACTGTCTGAAAATAATATATGATTAGCCAATTATATGTATGACAACAATCTGGAACAAGAGGTGCATTGCAAAGTGGACTCAGGGAGGGGCAAGGGTAGAAAATGTGCAATGATGAATGAATTGAAAAAGAAGAAAAGATCTTCATAGCTAACTAATCCAGTTTTCCTACTAATGTTCATAGTAATTCTTATAAACATTAGGTTGAAACTCCAAATCATTGTTTCACCTGTTGCAACTCATTGTGACCCTTTAAGGGGTTCCTAAACTTATAAATCTTAATGAAAGCAGACTGCCTGATTGTTCTCCAAAGGGCTGCTGGTAGATTAGAACTGCCTGCCTTTTGGTTAGAAGCCTATTACACTATCAGGGGTCCTTATTAGGTTGAAAGTTCAGGGACAAAACATGTCTGCTTATAACATTAACAAAGCCATTCCCTGGCCCTAAGTTGAGCACAACTCAATACCTTCAGTCTCCTAATGCAGCCAAAGCAGAAGAGGGCTTGTGAATGATTTTTCATTTCACTAGGGAGCTGGTTCTATACTTGGTCGACCTCTTTTACTTGATGAGCCTATGTTGTCTGACCCTTCTAGCTTACTAACTCATTTGAAGTAAAGGCCATGTACTGTTCATAGTTTGTCTCCCAGAGCCTAAAAAAACAAAAAAGAAAGTAAGAAAAAAAAGAAAACTCACTACTGTCTCATCAATTCTGACTCATGGCAACCTTCTAGGCCAGAGTAGAATGGTTTTGGACGTTTCTAATTCTGGAAATCTTCAGAGAAGCAGACTGCCACATCATTCTACCACAGAGCAGCTGGTGCCTTTGAACTGCTGATCTCTTGCTTATTAACCAAATATCAGGGCTCCTTTCCCAGAGCACCTCATCTAGTGACCTAGACTAAAAGGTCATAGTGTTGTCTGTAAAAGGAAATTAATACCACTGAGAAGTTTTTGTTTGAATTCGGAAAATTCAAGAGGCATAATGGCAGACTCTTTGCCTTCCATATTGGAGCTGGGCTGAATTCCTGGACAATGCACATGCATCCAACACTTGTCTGTTAGTGGAGGCTTAAGTATTTCTGTGATGTTGAACAGATGTCAGTGGAACTTCCAGAATAAGAGACAAAGTGGGAAGACAGACCTGGTCATCTAAATCTGAACATAAGCCAATGAAAACCTTGTGGATTACATGGTCTAATCTGCTACCATGGATGAGGATGGCACAGTACCATGGAGTGTTTGTTTCAGAGTGTTTGTTTCTATTTTATGAAGTTGACACACGTTGAAGACTGGCTTGAAAGTAAGTGCTAACAACATAAATAAGCTCAGGAGAAACTTCAAGATAGAAGACAGGAGTGGAGTACACATGCTGGTGTGTTTCTTGACACTGACATTCAAGAAGGTGCTGAACAAACAAGGTTCAAATCCTGACTAAAATAATCACTGTATAGTTGGAAACCAGCTAATCTTTCAGTTTCATGCTCTGTAAAGTGGAGTGACTAAAACAGCAGCCATGTTACAGAACTGTTCACGTTACAAGATTGAGTTCTGGTGGCCCTAGTGGTAAGGAGTTGTGCTGCAAACAGAAAGATAGCAGGTTCAAGTCCACCAGTTACTCTCAGATGAAAGATGCGCGATCTCCACCCATGAGATTTGCAGTCTCTGACAACTCACTAGAAGATCAGCTATGAGTTGGTTCCAACTCAATGACAGCGACTGAGAGTCATAGAAATGTGCTGGTCCCAGTGCCTGGAAGGCTCTTTGCAGACACTGGAATGATCAGTGCCCTCACTGTTAGGATCTCTCTGAAAACCTCATCTTACCAGCAAGACTCTCCTGAGCCTGATGTCCTAGCTTACTCTTTTTAACCACTCTCATAACTACCTCATATATTGTGTATTTATCTGACTACTTATTAATCTGTCTCTCCCTTTAATTATGTAATAATCTCCCTTAGAGAAAGGACTTTGTTTACTTCACGCCTGCCTTGTATGCCTAAAATCAAGCCGAGCACATAGCAAATGCTCCACAAATATCTCTTGAACTGATGAATTCTGTTGTTGTGGGCCACTGAGTCAATTCCAATTCATAGTATCCCAGTGGAACAGAGCATAACTACCCCCCAGTTTTCTAGGCTGGAATCGCTATAGAAACAGGTCACGAGCTCTTTTCACCCATGGCACAGCTGGGCTGATTGGAATGATCAACACTCTGGTTAGCAGCTGAGCTTTTAACCATAACTGGGCAGATGTACATAAATGTCACATCAGTGTCTGTGTTGGTCGTTAGGTCAGCTACTATCACTCTACAGCACATGTGGGGACTCTTCCTTGGGGCTCAGTGTGGAGAGGTAAAGGGATGATGGTCATGTTACCTTAGGAAGGAAAGCCTTGATCATCAGGTACATGCTTCGGACATTAAGATTCATTGAGAAGTCCCAGTCTTTCTCCTCGCAGTCCAGGATGGTTCCATGATGAACGAAACTGGAAGGGATTCAACCATGGGGGAAAAACAATCACTTAAAAAAATGCCTAACAACAATGAATGAAGAAACAAAAAAAAATTTAAAAAATGCCTAACGCATTTCGTTATCACTCTCATTGTCATTTATGAAGTTAGACAATTGTTCCTCTCTAACCAAGACTTATAAATGAAAATTTAAAATTCAAATATAGAATGCTTAGCATGTAAGGTCTTCAGATATTTCGATAGCTTATGCTAGCAAACTTTGTTATTTGAGATAATAACTTTCTTTCAAAATAAGGAGGTAAAACTTTGGAACAACCATAATTCAAGAGAAACTCTTTTATCAACAACAGTAAAAAGTCACTGCTGTCAAAAGCAAACAAAACAGCAGAGAACGCAGCACCTACTTATTTCAAGAGCAACAGTGCCCTCAAGTGGTACAGACTTAACAGAAATCAAAATAGGAAAAATCTTCTCATTGTCCATGAACTGGAATCAAACTGACCCATTAGTGGCTATGTGGGAGGAAGATGAGACAGTCTGTTTTCTTAAAGATGTTCAACCTTGAAAACGCTATGGGCCATTCTCCTCTTTCCTATGGGTGGATCTGAATTGGAATGGAATGACAGCAGTGACAGTATTGCTGTGTCAAAAGTTGGGAGCCTCTCTAAACTTGATTAAATGGAATACTTTGCATTTTGTAAAACTCTACTAGAAAAAGTGTTTCACTTTAATTTAGAAGCTCCAGAGGATCATCAAAGAGCCCTGGTGATGCAATGGTTACGTGCTGGTTTGCTAATCCAAAATTTGGGAGTTTGGACTCGACAGTGTCTCCATGGGAGAACAATTCTGGAGATCTGTGACCCCTCTGGGGCCTTTCTACTTTGCCTGTAGGGTCATTATGAGTCAGAACAGGGAGCTCTTGTGGCCAAGTCCATGGTGTTGTGCTGCCCAAGGCTGTGCCTCTCTGGTGGTTTAAAAACACCAGCAGCTCTGAAAGGGAAAGCTAGCCAATCTCCTCCTGTGTGATTTAGCCTTGCAAACCCAGTGGAGGGTCAGTAATGAGTTTATTGTGACTCAAGGGCAATAAGAGAGAATGAAAAATGAGCCAGAATTCATTGGACAGAATAACAGGACCATCAGCAACAAGTCTGTTTTCATTGTTCACATAACCTGCCTTAAGATCAAGAGCTCTGTATCAGAACTGGTTGCTGTTGTTATGTTCTGCCAACTAGGAACTGACTCAGAGCTGATCCTCCAGAAGGTTTCTGAGGCAGTAAATGGCACATAAGGAGACTGCCTGTCTTTCCCTGCACAATAGTTAGTGGATTCGAACTGTTTACCTTTGTGTTGGCAGCGCAAAGTCCTTAGTACTAAACCACCAGAGCTACCTGCATTAGGTCTGTGTACCGTTGAGTCAGAACTGACCCATAGCTGACCCTCCAGTGGGTTTTCAGAGACAGTTGATGGAATAGGAGGAGATTTCTCATCTTTCTCCCGTGAAGCAGCTGGTCGATTCAAATCATATGCCTTTTGGAACTGCAGTGTAGCTTCTTATCACGAGGCCACCAGAGCTCTCACACGAGTTGTCTTAAACAAATAGACATGCTTTATGCCTGTACCAACTTCTATAGCCATCTTACTTACTGAATTCCATGTGTAATGAAAATAATATCAGAACTCTTGTCATATTTCCCAGTGCAAATGTTAAGATTCACAATGAATAATGTTACCATATTTTCAAAACCCTTTTAATAAAAATAGTTAAAAAAACCCCATCTTTCTGTAGGAGAGTAAATGAAAATAGTATGAATTACCCAGCAACATTAAAGAGAACATCAAGTCTTTCAATGTCATTGGCAAACTGATCAATTTGTTTCTTCTTTGTGACATCAAGAACACGAGTTTGAATACCTGAAAAATCAAGACAGGATTTACTCAGGCTTAAAATATCCAGTCGTGAAGATTGCACAGTGGCGATGGCCTTTATTTGGTGGATATGCATCCTCCTTCTAGCCTCTGGGAAGAGTTTCAAGTGCTTGGCTACTGAAAGGCTGCAGGTTTGATTGTTCCCTAAGGACAGAGAAAGGCTTGGTTGGGATCACTACTCTTGAACACCCTTTAAAGTCCGGTTCTACTCTGAAACACACTGGGCACCATGAAGTGGAATTGACTGCAACTTGAGGGTTTTATTTTTGTTTAAAGAGCTGTCATCTTAAGAATCTTTAAGAACAAAAATGAGAAGGATAAAAATGCTAAAGTCATCCTTAGTTTGACTTTCATCACCTTTCTCTTCTTTTGAGTCTCTCTCTCTCCTCTGAAGTGAGTCAAGATCTTTTCTGAGTAATGACTTTATAGCGAAAAATGGATGATTAAGATTATATATTTTTCAGGAACTTAGCAGTAAGAATTGGAAGCAGGTTCCTTTTATCCCCTCGCCCTTTTTTTTTCTCCAGAGTATGAGCTTCAGGTACAGTAATGCTGAATTCTGTCTGAAGGGTCATGGGGAGGTATGGGTGGGAAAGGGTGGGGATGGGACAAGACACTGTTTCTGCCCATGAATTTTAGCTTTAAACTATTTTCATTATTAGAAATGGCTCTTGGCCAAGGGCATTGGCACTTATTTCTGGACTAAATTTCAAGCAGGAGAAATGAGGGCACTAAAAAAGGGAAGAAACTCTTGATGGTGGACCTGAGGGAATCTGTCCTAGGCTCCAAGAGATAGGAGTTACTGAAGAAAATCCAACATCCTTCAATGAAATAGAAATTATTATTTTTATACTGAAAATTCATAGTTTATTTTTTCCCTTTATGAACGTAAGAAAAAAAGATTAATAGAGGGAAGACTAGCAGTGAGCTCTGAAAGGATCTTTCTCTTTTGTGCAGTTGAGCAGAACAGCTTTGCTTTGATTTACTGGAGCTGCAATTCAGCATCAGCTAGTCCAACGAATGAAGTCAATGGACGGATTTGTGTCTGATCGTATAACCTATTTTGCTGAGCTAGATCACTTTCATGAGAGCTCCCTGTGGACTTCTTTCTGGGCAGCTCTCACTGAAGCCCTTTGTTGGGCATGTACAGAGGTGTGGAGGCAGGGGTGATAGGAGAGGGGTCTCTGGGCAGCCCTCTAAGTGTTGAAGGATTAACCAGTTTTGTTCTTTCTCCGGTGTCAGTTAAGACCTTCCGTTAACTACTTTCCTGAGGACAAGTTCCAGCTTGTCCACAGCAAGAAAAAAGTCCAAAGAAGTCTTTGGAAACCCTTCTGGACACTGCCTGCTCTCTCCCTTTTCAGATTCTGTCCACTTTTAATTTTTTTCACCCACAGAAATTTACTGTGGACAACATTAAAAGGAGTCTTGATGGTGTAGTAGATTAAATGTTGGGCTCCAAATTGGAAGGCAGGCAGCTTGAAACCAACAGCTGCTCTTTGAGAGAAAAATGTACACTTTTTTTTTGTTTGTTTGTTTTGTTTTTACAGCTTCAGAAATGTCATTGGGGAAGCGGACAGGAGTGGGTATTGTCTTCAGGGGTCAGAATCAACTCATTGGCAACTGGTTTTCTGCTTTACATGCAAACCAAGAAGTTCTGGTGGCACAATGGTTATACACACGGCTGTTAATCAAAAGGAGTTTGAACCCACCAGCTGCTCTGTGGGAGAAAGATGTTCAGTTTTTATTGAAATGAAACTCTTTGGGGCAGTTCTACTCTGTACCATATGGTCACTAAGAGGCATCAATGCAGTGGTAACAGCTCTGTACAAACCAAGGAGCTCTAGTAGTTCAGCAGGTATGTACTTAGCTGCTAACTGAGAGACAGTCAATTCAAATCCATCATATGTTCTATAGGGGGAAAAATGTGGAAGTCAGCTTCCATAAAGATTCCAGCCTTAGCAACCCTATGGGGCAGCTCTACAGTTTTTTATAGGGTCAGTATGAGCTGGAATTGTGTTTATGACAATGGGTTGAATTTTGGTTTATGCCCAAGCCATTTCTTTCCTAAGGCTGACATTCTCCTGGGCAGAATCCTCTATTAAGATCTACTTTTCTGCAATGGTCTTCGTGAAACCACTTTTTCTTTCACCTCCATTGTCTTATTGTAAAGCATACTACTCTTCACTAATTTGGCGTAACTAGTCTCCAGTCTGGTCCCTCTCTTATAGTACTCACAGCTGCAGTAGTGATTTCTTAAAATACTAATCTGATGATTCTCAATTTCTGACCACCATAGCAATTTATTTCTTCCTAATACATAAACACCATTGTGATTTGCTTTTTTTTTTTTTTCCCAATTGGCTCTCTAACATCAAGTCTGTAAGACAGTGGATAGTTGTTGTTCTGGTGTACTGTATTTTCACAACCGACCCATAGCTGATGCTCCAGCAAGTTTTCAGAGGCATTTAATCACACAGGAGGAGATTGTCCATCCTTCTCCTCCAGAGCAGCTGGTGGATTCAAACCGTGTGCCTCCAGGATAGCAGTGCAGCTTCTTGCCACTAGGCAACCTGAGCTCCCTAGCTAGTACAAAATATGGACAAAAATCCAACAAAATTCTGTACAAGAGTTTCCTCTTTAAGTTTAGAGCCATACTAATAATTTTCATAATCTCATAGTGTTCTCCCCAAGATACTTGATTTTAGGGTTGAAAGGACTCCAAAAAGGTGGCCACTACCACATGTGGATTGTTAATATTTGAAATTTATCTATTCTGAATTGAATGTGCTTAAACTACACATGGATTTTAAAGATTTAGCATAAAAATGTCAAAGGTTACATTAATTTATTTTAATATAGATTATATATTTAGATGTGCTGAGCCAAGTAAAAATTATTATTGTGATGCTAGGGCTTCTGAAAATGGCTTTTCTATCTATTGCTTTAAGCCACCCAACCTTCCCTGGGGGGTCGTGCTCTCCAGTTGCTTGAAATACTGACATATGGTTTGTCATTGATCAGCATCTTCATCATCAACAGCTGTGAGGCTAACACAAACGAGATCTAACCAGACTTCAGAAAGACTGGCTACATGTCGCCTAATGGAGGCCTGAAGATGGAGCCAGAATTAAAGCTTAAGCATGCTAGCTGATTGGAGAAAGAGCTGACTTGTGACTGCTCTGAGACAAAACTTGTTTGATGACTGAGGAAACCAAGGACTTCTTGTATTTGTGTTGCTGGTCTGAACCTGGACGCTCACTTGTTGACAGAGAAGCTGACTGAACTAATTGAAAAATTGTGTCTTATTGTTAATCTGATTTGGGGCTGCTATTTGGTGCTGTTCATCCTTTGCCTCCCCGCTCAGCTGCCCCTTACCTTATTTCCCTAATATGAGTATGATTAAAGTCAAGTCTGTGAGTCAATTGACAATGAACATTGGACTCAGTGATTAGTAGAAGCAGGTGCAGGGGCATGGGAAGTCACGTCTAACCTTATGGGGATCCATTTTATACTGTAGATATTGTTGTTGGGGACAGTTCTCCTTTATGGAGTTAATAATGGTCAGATTTGGACTTCCTCGTATTGTTCTTTCTCCATTTTGCAATCAAGATTAATTATACCAGGTGCTTTTTTATCTTTTTTTAAAAAATTAAACAGAAACTGACACTTTAATAATTGTGTCCAAGGTGACAAACCTAGATGAGGCCACAGCTGAAGCCACCAGTAGGCCCCACTAAGTGACTCAAACACAAACTCATGCTAAACAATCAGAATGAACTCCTAGCTGACCCTCTGTTGGATTTCTGTGGCTATAAATCACACAGGAGGAGATTGCTCATCTTTTTCCCTTGGAGCTACTGGTACATTTGAAGTGCTGGAGAATCACCACCTTTGGGTAAACAGTGCAACTCCCTAAGGGCTATTTAAGAAATTTAAATTTGTGCATGTGTTTTGCATCACATCTCTATTAGAAGGACTGTCCTATAGGGGGAGCAGAGAAGACAGAAAAACCCAAACCAAGAAAACACAGATCTAATAGACTGATTGAGGCTGGAGGGTTTCTTGTGACCACTATTCTTCAAATTTGAAGATCTTCAAATCCTTGAAATTACCTTGTAGCCAAATAACAAGCTGGCTTAAAATATAGTGACTATCATTCACAAGCACTGCATGCCTTTTAAAAAAAATCATGTATATGAGACAAAATGGTTAATAATCACTTTAAACAAAAATGAGCATGTAAATGCATAGAGATACTAGAAAAATGGAGATAACCAGAACGAAATAATGAGAATAGTCACATACTGTGAAAAATGTAAACAATGTCACAAAAACACTCATGTAGAATTCTTTTTTGCCTCATGTAAAATTATTGAATGGAAGCCTAAATTGTGAAACTTTCATTAAGAACACAGTAAAACAACAAGGAACTCATTAAATCTTATTCAAAATAGATGACCTTGGAGGACATTAGGCTGAGTGAAATATCTCCATCACAAAAGGACAAATACTGCATAGTACCACTGTTGTACAACGGGACTGACATAGGGGTTGGGGAGAGACTGAGAAAGATGGGAAAACTTACATATACTGCATTGAAACAGATGAGAGAGAACTGTTTAAAAGGTATATATGATTAGGTATTATTGTCGTGACATGAGTCCAGAACGAAGGCTGCATATATGGAGTGGACTTGGGGAGCGGGAGTGTATAACAATGAAAGAATTTTTCTTTTACTTTTCAAAGAGAAGAAAGAACTGGAAGGGAGGGGTGGGCAGGGAGAAAAGCGCAACAATGAATGAATGGAAATACAAAATCTCTGTAAATTTTCATTAACATTAATAATAATAATAATTATACCAAAAAAAGAACACAGTAAAATGATTTTTTAAGTAAAAATTGTTAAATATTCATATAGAATCCTGTGATTAAATCCTTAAACCTCTAACATGTAGGACAAGTAAAAGCTTTAAGTACACAGTACTGACTTTAGTGTGTAGGCTCACAGAATACACACCTGATATCAGAGAGTCAGACTATCCAAAGGCCAATGGAGGTGAATAGCTAAGGAATTTTCTCTCAACATGTAATTAGTACTGCTTTCATCATCCTTTGCAGGTTCTGACTCCTAAATTAAAGGAATTGAGTTGCTTACCTGTGTAGTTTTCCAGTTCCTGAAGTTTAGACTCATTGATATCTGTGGCTATGACTTTGGCACCTTCTCTTGCAAAAGCCTGGTGAATACAATACACAAATAAAACCTTTGTCTACTTTGCTAAGCTATTTCTACAAATGGAAAGTCAATTGGCCCCTCCTCTGTTTATCTCATTCCTATTGTTTTTTCCCTGTAAGTGGGGCCACATACTTTCTAGTCTCACTCAACACTATGCTGTTATTATTTGTATTTACTTTCAAGTAGGACAAGATGATATGCATTGTACTTGCCATCTGACTCCGCCCATTCAAGTAATATCAAATAGGATGCTTAGGTGTCATCTAGCCAGCTGACTCATAGTGATCCTATGTACAGTAGAACAAAACATAACCCTATCCTGTGCCATTCTCACAATCTGTCAGGATGCAATCATGTGCCAATTCATTCTGAGAGTCCTCCTATTTTTTGGTGATTTTCTACATTATGGTTATGAATCATGCTCGACAGCTCCTAACAACAGCAACAACTACCACACCAACTACTACTATTACTTTTCCAAAAATTGTGTCTTTTTTCCGGGGACTGGCCCTTCCTGATGTAAACAGGACACTGCTTTTAAAACCGGATTTTTGTTGCTGACACCTATCAAAACATAGCTAATTTGTGATTTGATATCCTGTACTCCATTTTTGAGTAGGTGACTAAATTTTAAGTGTTTTTTTTTAAAGACATTTTTTAATTTTTTTTTCTATAATTATATTTTATTCATTTTCATAAACATTTACAGAGATTTTGGGTTTCCATTCATTCATTGTTGCACTATTCTCTCTATCCTCCTCCCAGTTTGTTCTTGTCCAAATGCC